TGAAAATCAAAAGTATATGAGAAAATGCCACTCAAGAGAAGTCTTTTAATAACCTAATGTTCCAACACCAGAGGGAAGAACAGAAGGGTGTCTACCAGCTGACTGGAAAAGTGAGCAGAACAACTTGCTTATATAACCAGAAGAGGATGTGTGGCAAGGATAATTGTACCAATTACAGTCCTGCATGTAAGCAAAAAGCTGTGTTTGCACCATAGATCTTGCGTCACCAGTGGGATGTGTTTCCTCTCTGGCCTGGGTGAAAATAGCTACTAGAGTTCACGAAAGCTTGTAATGGCAAGCTGTTTGAAACAAATGTGGCTGGGATAGTGCCTTTCTGAAGCCTGAGTTGTGCTTCGGCAACACACAGCTGTGGTTGTAGTGTAGCTTCCTCAAGAAATCCATGGTGTTCAAAGCTGCCAGTCTGCCACAAGGGCAGTCTAGCCAGCTGCCAAAGAGGGGCTGGGCGAACAGTCCCCACTCAAGCCTGGTAGGCAAAAGAAAAGAGCCTGTCAAACAGCCCACTCTTGACAGTTTTAGTCATTCCAGAAAGCACTAAATGAGGATTTACAATAAAGACTTAAAAGTTCAAATAGAACTAACAATTCTGGTAGTATTTAACAGTACTTAATAGCATTTAACATAAGAGTGCTTAACTCCTGTCTCAGGGAGAGGTGGGTCCTTCTGATCTGTCTCACCACAACTTAGGTATACACCTTCATAAATGTACTTACACACAGACACAGACCACTAATATTCTCTCTACATTTAAGTTGGGTACAGTGGTGCATGACTGTATCCCCACTACTTGGAAGGCTGAGGCAGGAGGTTCACTTGAGCCCAGAGATTCCAAACTAGCTTGGACAGTGTAGCAAGGCACTGTCTAAAACAAAACAAAAAACCTGTACCCAGTGGTATGCTGGTAGATGTTTAACAGCCAGCTCTCTTGAAAGCATTCACAATGGAAACATGATTTGTAGCAGTTGCTTATTTCTATGATGTAAACACCCCCACCATGCTGATGAGTAACTGCCAATATCATGTCTCTGAATGGAAGGTGGAGAAGATAGGCACGGAATTGTAAGCTGGTGTGAGCCAGCGCCAGCCCAGCTTCCAGCACAAGTCACAGTTGCACAATTACACACCTGCCCAAAGTTGCCTAGATGAGCAGGATTGCTTAGCTTCCCTCAAGAACTGAAAAACTGAAATGTTCATTCTAATTCTGTTTTTTTCTTTTTTCTTTTTTTTTTTTCGGTGGGCATTGGAGTTTGAACTCAGGGCCTCATGCTTGCTAGGCAGGTGCTCTTACCACTTGAACCACTCTGCTAACCCTCATTCTGATTCTGTAGACACAGTACAGAAAAGTATATAAAGGTATGATCTCAAATATACACATCTGTAGACAGTCACTTAGATGCATAGAAAAAGACAAGTTCAAATATATAAATAAATATGTGCATGCCTATATATAGGTTAATACAGGCCAAGATGTCCATAAAAACTTACACATGCTCAGGAAAGAAGAGGAAATAAACCAACCCGATTTGCTCTAGTTGCTGCCCTGCAGCCTGAGGCCCCCACCCTTCAGAACAACTTCAGATCAAAGCATGTAAGGCACCTCTTTTCCTTCTCTTCCTTCAAAAGCCTGAAGAGACTTGAAGGGCAGAAAGTTTATGCCAATTAGATTCACATGCATCTGCACTCCTGGGACCTATATGCCGCTTCCTCTTTTTGTAAAATCTGGAAGAGCCCTTCTCTTCACAGCTACCAGCCCCAGGCCCACCAACACCCTCAGCAAGTCAGCCCTTCACCCCTCTCTCTTTCATCGCATGAAAATGAGAAATCAGCCTTTCTCCCCTTCATCCCAGATCAGCAAGGGAGATGTCAGCGTGGTTCCCACTTGTATTCCTCCCTGTGACTCCTGTTCTGTCTCATCCCTTTATCACTTTTTTTGTTCATCTCTTTCCTGGGCAATTGCTCAGTCTTCTGTCTCCCTGCTCCAAGGGAGCATTTATCTCAATATAAGGAACCCTACCAGATTATTCTAAAACACAGCGCAAGGTCACATATACTAGCATCTTTTAGGGCAAGATCCCTTTGAGGGCCCCAAACCTACATGTCCAGCTCTTGCTTCCTCATAGTGTCACTTTTTTGCCATGCTTTCCCCTAATCTGTTCTGCAAATTGTTTTTGCCATGAAATTCATTTGCTCCCTCCTTTTAGTTCACAGTGGGGTACTTACCACCCCTTATGCTGTGGGTTTACCTTAGCTATCAACACCCAGATAAGAAGCTGGGCCTGGTGGTGCACATCTGTAATCCCAGCACTGGGAAGGATAAGGTACATTTGAGACCAGCCTGGAATGCACAAGACCCTGCCTTAAAAACAAAACAAAATACCACCACCTCACACACATATGTGTGCTCCTATGTAAGGAAATCCTATCACATGTCTGGTACTGAGGTTAGCTCTGGAAATGCAATGGTAAGTAAAAAGCAGATGTGGCTGTGTTTCATGATCTAAATCAATACAATGTTGAGGACCTGGAGGCCAAATGTACTCTGCCCCCAAATCACAAGTGGCTTTGGTATGGAAAGTATTTTTCTACTGTCTTTTTTTTTTAACAGTAGTGGAGTTTGAACTCAGGGCCTCACACTTGCTAGTCAGGCACTCTACCTCTTGAACCCTTTTTCGTGTTGGGTATTTTTGAGATAGGGTCTCAAGAAACTATTTGCCTGGCTGGCTTCAAACCACAATTCTCCTGTCTCCGCCTTCTAAGTAGCTAGGATTACAGGTGTGAGGCACCTGCACTCAGCTCTACTGTCCTTACCACTCCTGTCCTGCCTTCCTTGCAACTATGACCTCTCTGGGATCAGGGGGACAAACTAGGAAGACAGAGAATAAGACTGTGACAGCTTGCAGATTCTTACCATTACCAAACTTGGGAGCATTACAGGAGCAGCTTCCTGGGATGTTGTAAGCCCAGGGCATTAAACTTTTATGAAGCTATTTAGAAGCTCATGAACACATTCCTATTTTGCAACATCTTTATTTCCTTCCCTATGGGTGTGCACACCCATAGTAAGCAACATCTATTATTTGTCTGAGCCTAGGCTAATTACTTTGATTTCAGAACTTCAGTTTCCTCACATGTAAAAATGTGTTCAGAAATCTTTCTCATAGTTTTTAGGATGCTAAAGGTATATAAAGAGCTTTAAACAATTATAATGAGCAACACAAATGTATAGTGTTATTAATCTTTTACTCAATGCTTTCTTCTTTAAACCAATATGATCAATATATCATACATGGAGCTCTGTGACTTGAAACATAATGTGAGTCACAAATACAGGTCACGTGTTTAGTATCTGCATTAAAAAAAGCTAAAAACAGACTGGCAAACTTAGTTTGAATAATATAAAAATTTAACCCACTATATCCAAAATGTTATCATTTCAATATGTAATTCGTATAAAAACGATTGAGATGTTTTACATTCTATTTTTGGTACTAAGTCTGTGAAACCGTGTATTCTATACTGACAGCACATTTCATTTTGGCTGTCACAATTCAAGTGCTTAATAGTTACATGTGCCTACTAACTAGTAACATAAATAAAAATTATATAAGAGCTGTGCAGTCCTTCAGAAAAGTCTTGATATTTTAAATCTTGTGTTAGCCTGGGTAGGCGGAGGTTTATCATCTTCATTCTGTATGTAGATGAGAAGCAGTAGCAATTATATGTAATTCACTCTACTGAGCAAATAGTGAACACAATTCTTATCTTCAAACCTGGGCACTTTCCCTTTTGCTCTTTTCTAAACAAGTGGTACAAGGGCACAGTTGAATACTATCACAGATGGGTCCCAAGGCTCACTGCACTAGTGCAGAAAACGAACTGTTTTTTTCAAAATTCACCTATAATCTCTGCCCTGTTTGAATCCTGCTAGAATCTCTTAGCTGTTATTTTAGAATAACAGCTGTTAGCTGTTATTCTAAAAACATGTATGTACTGAAGTACCTCCCACTTCTGATGTGCCAGGAATGAAAATGTTTAAAGCAGGCATTAAAACAAAACAAAAACATTACATTTCTTAAATTTTCTTTTTTTTTGCCGTGCTGGGGATGAAAACCAGGGCCTTGCATATGCTAGGCACTGAGCTATTACCTCGCCATGATTTTTTTTTTTCATTCTTTTTTCTTTTTCATTCTTTGGGATGTAAGTGCATCCCAAAGAGGTAGGAAAAGAGGTAAAGACAGACTCCAGTTTTCCAGTTTAAAAAACTCATGTATGCCAAGTGTTCACGCCAAAGCATAACCAGACCCAACTGGTTGTCAGTCATGTAGACAGGGGCCTCATTCAAGATTTCTCTACAAGATAGTAGGTACATCAAGGGAGGGCAAGAGTTGGACAGGGGACAGGCCAGCTCTGGTGCAGCCCTGCGAAGGACCCGTCCATTGGCTAATGCTCTCAGAATGCCAGGGGCAGCTGACCACTCTCCTGGCCTGCGCGAAGGTGCCCCAGAGACCTGCAGGAGCTACAGCTTGTCTCCCAGGTCTGCCAGTATTTTCCTCCTTCCAGCTCCCACTCCATTGCACTGCACTGTAAGGAAAGGGAGCGGACGGTAGCTAGCAGGCCACGACAAAAAGCCTGTAAAAGCCAGACGTGGTGATGCACACCTGTAACCCCAGCACTTGGGAGGTGGAGGCAGGACAGCTGAGCCATCCTGAGCTACACAGAAACACCATATTTAAAAAAAGGAAAAGAAAAGCCCGTGCAACAGCATCTGCTAGTTTCTCGCAAATACCCTCTACAAAGAACTGAAGTAGGTGCTCAGTAATAACAGCACGCTCCCATCTCAGTAACACCACAGCAGTCTTGCGGGGGCTTCTCTTCCAACCAGCTTTTACGTCCTCCAGGTTCAGCATATGCGCAGGCGCGCAGCGTGAAAAAATCAGTGCAGGTGTCTGTGTGCGAATGTGACTTTGTCATCGCCGGACAGACGCTGGATTGACGCACCCGGTGGTCCCACGAGTGTGCACCCGACTCTCCGGCCCCCACCTCTGAGGAGCCCCGCTGAGCGCGCGTCACAAGGTGCGTCACAAGCTGCGGGGCCCACAAACCCAAGCGGGGCTGCCAGCAACTTCCGGGAGCCGAGGGGCTGGCAGCAGTGTGTCTAGCGAGTTCGACTTGGACACCCCTTTCTGGCTCCTCCGCTGGGGCCTCAGTATCGGTCTCCAGAAGCAGAGGGAGGGTAGGCAGGAGCCTCAGAGGGCCACAAACGGCCACCCAAACAAATCCTCCGTGCCAGCCGGCTCGGGACTAGGGGCGTCTTGAAGCCACGCCTCCGCGCACGCGCGCCAGGAGCCAGTCGCACTTCGCGGGCCGTCACGTGAGGCGGGGTGGTGCCAAGCAAGCTGGAGGGAGAGAAGCTGCAGGCATTAGGGAGGGAGGCAAACGGCGGGACCAGCAGCGGCGGTGGTAGCAGTATGGCCGCGCTGTATGGGGGCGTTGAGGGGTGAGTGCGGCTCAGGATCCTGGGAAGGGCGGCGCGGGTCATTCCGGGCAAGAGGGCGGGGCGGAAGGTCCTGGTCAGGCGGGTAGGCAGGTGGCCTCGCACCTCAGGGTCCCGCCACTCTGGACTTACGGGCTGCGGAGCCTTGCGGAGGAGGGGTTTGTGCACGCGGAGGTGCGTCCCTGCGCGCGCGACCGTGTGCCACGCAGGGATCCCCGCGCGTTCCACGGCCCACACCTGCGGGAGAGGGCCTTTGTGTTTTATGATGGGACTACGCCCCTTTCTTCCACGGACTACCTTCTCTGTGCTCTCCTCCGGGAAAGCAGCAGCTTTTCCTCATTCCCAGCCGGGGACAGAGTTTGCAGACAGGTGTCAGGTGTGAAATCGAGCGAAGGCGAAGCCGGAACAAAGATTTTTGCCCCAGGGTATCTGGGCGCTAATGCAGTTTCGAGCCTGTCCTTGATGCCTGAAACCTTCCAGTGCTGGCTGCTGCACAACAGGTTCCTCATCCTATATTGTACCCTCTGTTACTGCATTTTTCCTGCTCAGAAGCTTGTCTGTCTATTGGATTTTTTTGTGATAGCTCTGTCCCTGAGTATGACTCTTGGTTAAATACTTGGTCTCTCCAGGCTTCGGTTACCCCATGTCAAGCAAGGATACGATGACTGCCTAGTCTTCTGCCCAGATAGAATTGGTCAAATCAGGGCATCATAGGCCTTATCTCTTGTCTCAGGCAAAACACTGTACTTCTGAATGTGAGATTGGATTCATATGAGTTGTTAAGGTGACTCTTCCCCCCATCCTGTATCTGTGGCACTTTTTCTTTTTAAAGCTAAGTACAGTGTAATAATTTGTATTCGACCTTGTTATATTCATCTGTAAGACATAACCCAGTTTTTTGAGTGAGTTGAATCTGCCACTCTATGCATTAATTAACTTACCCCTTGAAACTTCATGTCATTTTTGAGTTTGATCAGCAGGTTTTCAGTGTCCTAAGATATTCCTAAAAGTATTGATTAATAAGGAAACATACAGTCCACCACCACAGATCTCCCTCTAAACTACCACCCTGCCACTCTCAGTCAGCATTGGAGGATTTAGTTGCTTAGGTATGTATAAATTCTCCCTGTCATCTGGTTACCATTCTTACAAGGGTGCCTTGAAGACCTTGGCAGCTGTGAGAGGAGCAGAGCGGTATGTGTACTGTTCTCTTTGGCCATATTTACCAAGTGTTTCCTGGTTCAGGCTCTGTGCTAGTTATGAGAGGATAGACAAATGATTTGGAGTTTGACTAGTGAACCTCATAAGCTAGTGAGAAGCAGACACAAAACAACTGAACATACTCTTGATGTAAAGAAATCTTTGATATCAATGGGGCACTGTGAAGGCTTAACTTAGGAGTCTTAATATGTGAGGCAGGTCACACATCAGGGAAGCTTACAAGGTCCAGGTGATGTATATGTAAGATCTGTAGGATAAGTGGAACATTCCCAAGAGAAGATGAGTGACACCTACATTTCGGTTTCAAAGGCACAGCCAACACTAAACCATAGAAGTGGGTTTGGAAGTGGTCATTGGATTTGCTGAAGCTGTCTCCATCACACTGGGCTCGGCCTGGAACAAGGACTACACAAGCAGATTTCTCTGAGCAGTACTGACTGCCCTCTTGTGTTCTGTAGGGGAGGCACAGAGTCCAAGGTCCTTTTACTGTCGGAGGATGGACAGATCCTAGCAGAAGCAGATGGACTGAGCACAAACCACTGGGTAAAAGCCACACTGAGGGGACCAGAGGGGTTGGTTCTGATTGTATTCTTTGTAACTCTCATTGAAATGGTGGCTGGGGTGCATAGAGTGGCCAGGAGGGGCAACACAGGTCTTGCAAACCTTTGTAACTTCTCCTTCCCTGTTGGGGCCAGCTGATCGGAACAGATAAGTGTGTGGAGAGGATCAATGAGATGGTGAACAGGGCCAAACAGAAAGCAGGCGTGGATCCTCTGGTACCCCTGCGAAGCTTGGTGAGTCTGGGGAGAGCCTGGGAATTAAGCCATTAAGCCAACAGCAACAATGAGACAGGTGGCAGTCTGGACTAGAAGAGTTTGATGACATAGAGGAAAAGGCATCCAGGGCCTGGTCTCTGGTGTTGAAACTTCCATGATCCTCCCCATTTTCATGACTTCACTTGCCACCTACAAGCCACAAGTATATTGGAAGAGCACAGGAACATTGAGACTGGTTTGAATCCCAGCATTGCCACTCGAAAGCCATGTAATCCTTAAGTAGGTCACTTACCTTCTCTAAGTCTCAGTTTTCCATTTGGAAAATTTGGATAGCAGTAGCTACCTCAGAGTTACTGGGAAAGTGACATGACCTGAAACATTCCAAGATGATTAGCACAAAGTCTGACACAGAAGCATTCATTAAATGTTAGCTACTCTTACTCTCACCTCATATCTTTCTCCCAAGTTGCTGTAGCTTCTACTACTCCCTGGACATAGAAGGGAGATGTTCTTCAGGCCAAACCCCAAGTATTTCAAACCAAGCTTACCTCTCATTTCCCCTCACCTTGCTCCTCCGCCTGATTTTTCTAAGAGCACTGCCACCTTCCAGGCTCTAAACGTGGCATTGCTGAATTCCCTCTTTCCTCTGTCCATCTCTAGTCCAAGCTGTTCTTGCAGCCACAGACCTCTAAGGAGTCATTGTGTGGTGTGGAGGCACTGGAGCTGGATGAGCAGGGTATGGCTAGATGGAGAGAGCAGGAGGCAGGCATCAGGAGGGGTGGGGGCTGAAAAAGGAGCTGGATCTGTGTCTCTGTGTTCACTTACCTCCTGCATGGCCTAGGGCCTGTCCCTGAGCGGTGGGGAGCAGGAGGACGCTGTGAGGATCCTGATGGAGGAACTGAGGGACCGCTATCCCTACCTGAGTGAAAGCTACTTAATCACCACTGATGCAGCCGGCTCCATCGCCACAGCTACCTCGGATGGTGAGGAGGTGGTGGGAGGGGTGAGGTGGAGAACTGGTTTTCTTGGGAAAGCCCGTTAGATGTAGTTGGCAAAACTTGTCTCACAAATACTTGGGAAGCCGCCTCTGTCATATTTCCCCCAACTCTTCCATCATGAGTGAAAGTCCCTGCCAGAGCAAGGACCAGGGGGCAGAAGGAGGGACAGAGGGAAGCAAAGAGTGGAGTCAACATAAGACTCCATTGGAGAGGAGGGAGCCCCTGGGGGCAGTAGCATGAGAAACCAGCTGGGGGAATCTGGGAGTATAAAGGAGAAAGCAGGGGAGCTCTGTGACAGTGTAAAGAGTGCTGGCATCGTGGGGATTGGTGTTTGAATCCCAACTCCTAGAATTCCATTCTTAGAAACATAAAACAAAAAAGTGAAACGAATCCCAGCTCCTAGTTTGCCACCTCTACTATCTTAGAGAAGTTAAGGAACTCTCTGAGTTTCAATTTCCTCATTTCTATAAGAGGAGATTTGTATTTAGAAGGTGCTTTACTCTTGGGGATATACCCAAAAGACTGTTACTCCAGAGGCACCTGCACACCCATGTTTATTGCGGCACTATTCACAATAGCCAAGTTATGGAAACAGCCAAGATGCCCCACCACTGACAAATGGATTAAGAAAATGTGGTATCTATACACAATGGAATTTTATGCAGCCATGAAGAAGAACAAAATGTTATCATTCGCTGGTAAATGGATGGAATTGGAGAACATCATTCTGAGTGAGGTTAGCCTGGCCCAAAAGACCAAAAATCGTATGTTCTCCCTCATATGTGGACATTAGATCAAGGGCAAACACAACAAGGGGATTGGACTTTGAGCACATGATAAAAGCGAGAGCACACAAGGAAGGGGTGAGGATAGGTAAGACACCTAAAAAACTAGCTAGCATTTGTTGCCCTTAACGCAAGAGAACTAAAGCAGATACCTTAAAAGCAACTGAGGCCAATAGGAAAAGGGAACAGGAACTAGAGAAAAGGTTAGATCAAAAAGAATTAACCTAGAAGGTAACACCCATGCACAGGAAATCAATGTGAGTCAATGCCCTGTATAGCTATCCTTATCTCAACCAGCAAAAACCCTTGTTCCTTCCTATTATTGCTTATACTCTCTCTACAACAAAATTAGAAATAAGGGCAAAATAGTTTCTGCTGGGTATTGAGCGGGGGGAGAGGGAGGGGGCGGAGTGGGTGGTAAGGGAGGGGGTGGGGGCAGGGGGGAGAAATGAACCAAGCCTTGTATGCACATATGAATAATAAAAGAAAAATGAAAAAATAAATAAAAGTACTATGCACAAAAAAAATAGAAGGTGCTTTACTGATGATCACTGTAAGAACAGGGTCTAGCACAGTCTCTGGCACAACAGACACTCATTAAGCAGGTAGAGTCACTTGAAGACTGTGTGGGCAAGGAGTCATATTCCTTTAAGGAGGTGCAGACTCACGTTCCTCTTTGTCCCCAGGAAAGGACTCTGTATGATTTGAGTTTCTCTGAGACCCAGATGCTCCGCTTTAAAAGTAGCTGGGCTTAGATACCTTAAAGCAACTGAGGCCAATAGGAAAAGGGGACCAGGAACTAGAGAAAAGGTTAGATCAAAAAGAATTAACCTAGAAGGTAATACCCACACACAGGAAATCAATGTGAGTCAATGCCCTGTATAGCTATCCTTATCTCAACCAGCAAAACCCCCTTGTTCCTTCCTTATTGCTTATACTCTCTCTAACAACAAAATTAGAGATAAGGCAAAATAGTTTCTGCTGGGTATTAGGGGGGGAGCGGGAGGGGGTGGAGTGGGTGGTAGGGAGGGGTGGGGCAGGGGGGAGAAATGAACCAAGCCTTGTATGCACATATGAATAATAAAAGAAAAATGAAAAAAAAAAAAAAAAAAAAAAAAGTAGCTGGGCTTGGTTTGCTCCTCTATAAGACTGGGTGTGATCCCTTTACCTGGGGTTGGGGAAGGGAGCAATTGTTGGCTTCTGTCCTGTCTTTCTGCATTCAGAAGCTGTTGCTCTGTGCAGAGTCTTGGCCACACTGAGCCTTTTGTGCCTCTTCCCCAGGTGGGATCGTGCTCATCTCTGGGACGGGCTCCAACTGCAGGCTCATCAACCCTGATGGCTCTGAGAGTGGCTGCGGTGGCTGGGGCCACATGATGGGAGACGAGGGCTCAGGTGAGCTCACACTGGGCTTGGCTCAGGTGCCCTGACCCTTCCCTTTCTGCAGCTCCCCACCTTTCTGCCCTCTGCCTACTAACCCTTGGGGGCTTTGTGGGGTAGCTTCTAAACCTGACCATTCCAAGTGCAGCATAATGGCTGGCAGATCATAGATATGCAAATGCTGAACTAACTGCTTACCTTGCTCTTCAGCAGTGTGTTGAGCCCAGAATTCAGATTCTTGCCTCAGCACAATGGCCATACTACCTGTATTGACTTTCAGAGACCTTAGTGAAGAATTGAAACAATGAAAGTTAAGGCCATAGATGACAGGAGATGCCATACCAGTCTACCAATGGGAAAGGGGTGTAGAAACACCTCCTACCACACCTCCCTATTTGTAGTGTGTGTCCATTTCCATAGGACTCCTTGGGTTTCAGTTCTTGCTGGTGTTTGTAGCAACTGACCAACCTGTTTTTGGGTAGAAGCTAGTGTGACACAGGCTCACCCGTTCTGTCTTCCCCCTCCAGCTTTCCCTAGATCAGTCAGATACAATTTAATTAAAAGCCCTTTCCCTCCCCCCACTGGGAATCATGAAACCTTATTTGCTAAAAGACCCAAGCAGACCACTGACCTTGTTTTGGTCTGGAATTCTTTCTTGGTGAGGAAACTTCCTCCAAGAGATTTCCCCATCTTCTTAGTCCTCTCTGCTCTCTGCAGCCTACTGGATTGCACATCAAGCAGTGAAAATAGTGTTTGACTCCATCGATAACTTAGAAGCGGCTCCTCATGATATTGGCTATGTCAAGCAGGCCATGTTCAACTATTTCCAGGTACTCCCAGCCCCCAGGGCACACTTACCTCTGAGGTAGAAAAGTGGGGACTCCAGATGAGTGGCTGCAAGAGAGGGACTGGGGAGCCAAAGGTGGGTCGGAGATACAGGGTAGAGAAGTCCTAGGTAAGGACAGTGTTCATAATGACCTTGGGGGGGGCGGTTCATAAGGAAGGAGCAGTTTGGTGACAAGTGGTTAGCCAGACTTCATTTCTGGGGAGCTACAACCTGCTGGGAAGTTAAAACAGACAGTCTAGACTAGGATGAAATCTTCAGGGTAAGGACAGGAGGTAGAGACAGCACTTACGAGTCTGAGCAAGTGCATTGGACACTGAGCTGCTTTCTCACCTGTATAGGTCAGGAGAGCCCATTAGCAGATGGGCAGCAGAATTCCAAGAGAGGACAGCCTATACCCAGGGCACTGGAGATTGACTGAGCTGTGTTCATTTCTAATGGGTTAGGAGAAACAGCTGCCTTTAAATGGAGCCAGAGGTAAAAGGTGGAAGAGGTGGAAGAGAGAGGAGAAAAAGAGAAGTGTATTTGATAGCTGTCTCTCTGCATAAGAGCCAGGGTTTTGTTTTGTTGGTGGTACTAGAGGTTGAACTCAGAACCTCATGCTTGCTAGGCAAGCATTCTACCATCTGAGCCACTCCCCCAGCCCAAGAGCCAGGGTTTTTTTTTATCCAGCCACTTAGGCAGGCTGGGGTTAGGGCTGAGGATTTGGTGATTAAAGAGGAACCCCAGCCTATGCCAAGGTGAGGAATAGGGAGGGAACAGGACCAGGAGGAGAGAATACTTTTGGAGAAGTTTTCGGAGGAAGTGCGGTGAAGCTGTCCTGACCCAACCAGTTGAGTCTAAATTCCACTAGTATGTCTTCCATTTCCTTTTATGTCCTTTAGTCTTTGTATACAGTTGTAAATGAGGTATGTACGAAATGTTTAGTACATTGAGGTAGATCCTGAAGTTTTAGTCCTCTTCCCCCAACACCCCTAAAAAAGTATTCTGGTGAATCCCTGATTCCTTGGGGACTTAAAGATGTTAAGGGTGTTTGAAGTTTGCTGGAAGAAGGATATTCTGTGGTCAAATAAATTTGGGAGAAATAAATCCATTTCTCGGTTGCAATACTTCTCAGAGCCTTTAATTTGCTAGTACACATTGTGACTCTACAAGAGAAAGTTGCATTGTGCAATGTTCCTTAGGTTCCTTTGACCAAAGAGATGTTTCCAAGAATACTTAAAGGAACTATAGAACACACTGTGGTAAACACAGATCTGTACTCTGCTTCCTTTAAAATATTTTATAATAAGCAATGAAATCCAGGTCAGGAAAACAAAACTTTTCTCAAATGAGAAATCTCAAATTCCTACACTTTCTAGAGCTTTAAAAAAAATTCTAGTGTAAAGATACTAGGAAGTCCAACTTGGGTGGACAGACTGGGGATTTCCTTTTCCTTTACTTTTGATGACTGTCTTGTTCCCTTTTCTGTCTCTCAGGTGCCAGATCGGCTAGGAATCCTCACCCACCTGTATAGGGACTTTGATAAATCCAGGTTTGCTGGGTTTTGCCGGAAAATTGCAGAAGGTACTGGTGGTGAGGAAGGGGTTTTTTTTTTTGTTGTTGTTGTTTTGAGGTACTGAAGTGTGAACTCAGGGCCTTATGCTTACTAGGAAGGCACTCTACCACTTGAGCCACTCTTTCAGCCCAGGATATAGAGTGGGGTTCAGATAGGGGCCAGATGTCATTTTCCCTATCACCAAGTGACCTCAGTGGTCACTTGGCCCTTGGTCAAGGTGGTGGGCCATGGGCCAAGGCAGAAAGGCAAGGGGATTATATTGACAGTGGTTTTCTATTACCTGTGCTTCTCTCCCTAATAGCTATCAATGGCTGTGTAAGCTGCAGGCCTGTTTTTGAAAAATTTATGAAGCAGTTGTACTTTGGACAAGTCTGTACTTTAAAAAAAAAGAACTAATTATATGCAAAGAACTAGGGGATTGAGGAAGGCTCAGGCATATTTTGTTGGGTATCAGGAGAAGTTAAACATAGAACTTACATGTATGATGCAATTGGTTCTCCACTGTAAAGTCCACAGTCCTTTAATTTGGATTCCTTAGCTTCTAGGCATTCTAGGGCTCTTTCAGATCCCTGGTTGAGACCTGCCCCCAGCACTGAGCCAGGAAGGAGCTGACCAACAGCAGGCTGCTGGAGGTGGGTGGTGAACTGACAGCCAGCTTCTCAGTCAGGGTCCTGGGTTCCCAGAGCTGAGAGGCTGGGAAGGACAGACTCATAGTAATACATTATAAGTATTATTAGAATCCAATCCCAGTACTAAGGTGCTCTTGTGAGAGCCACCTCCAAAAGGGCATCTCCAAGTGGGCAGGTATCTAGTGTGTGTGTTGCAGGGAAAATGGGGAGACAGCAGTGAGGTTTGCTTACCCACATGCCATGAGGTGAGCAGGCATCCATCCTGATCTAGACTTCACTAGCTCCTGAGGTTGCTCCCTTGCTCCAGGGAGAGAATAACCCAGGACAGGCCACCCCCTAGGTACTCTCCAGCCCCCTTCTTTCCTCCTCCGTTCCCCCAGGTGCACAGCAGGGAGACCCTCTTTCCCGTTACATCTTCAGGAAGGCTGGGGAAATGCTGGGCAGACATGTTGTAGCAGTGTTGCCTGAGATTGACCCGGTGAGTTGAGGGGGACGTAAAGGTGGGTAGCTACTGGGCTGGGATTGGTCCTTTCCCTTTGCTGATGGGATTATCTGTCAAAACCTGTATAAGTTGGGTACTATTTTAGATAGACTTAGTGTGAGAAAAAAGTCCATCTACAACACAAAAAAGTCCTTTGGTCAAGTGCCTCCCCTCTGTGACTGGTCCTTAACCTGAATTTACATGTAGTAAACTGGCTTAATGTGCTGTGCTGTCCCTTTTGTCCTTCCCCTCCCTTCTGTGTCCTCTTTATTGTTTAACCCTTTTCCTTCCTCTTCTCTCTCCCTTGCTTTATGACTCATATTTTCCTCCCTGTTTTTCTTTCCTTGAGTCCACCTTCTGTTTCTCAGCTAGAGGGAGAGTGAGATGAGGGTTGGTCTTAGGAAACCACCCCTGCAGCACTGGAGGCTTAGTCAGCTCACAACATCCATTTTATGCCCTCCACCCAGGTCTTGTTCCAAGGGGAGATTGGCCTTCCCATCCTATGTGTGGGCTCTGTGTGGAAGAGCTGGGAGCTGCTCAAGGAAGGTGAGTCTGAGCATGGGGGGAGGAGAGGAAAGGCAAGGGCAGAGGATGGGGCTGGAAGGAGGTAGTCCAGGGAGATTATGTGCCCCAGAGGGAGTTGAACCTACACCATGGATGCCACAGGGTAAGGCCCTCAGCCTTTCATTCTGTCCTATCCAGCTTTCTTGAACTCTTTTGGTGCTGGGGATTGAGCCTAGAGCTTCGTATATGCTAAGCATGTGCTGTATCACTGAGCTACACCCCTAGGTCTTTGTACTCCTATAAAAATGTTATTTTCTAACTAATTTATTAAATACCATCTTATTTAAAAATTAAAGTCAAATCTAACTTAGACTTAGAGCTCTAACCAGCATGTGATAACTGATGGTAACATGTCTAGTCAACATCATTCTGGCTGGAAGGAAATAAACTTGACTTTTTAGCTTGGCAGCCTTGTCTCAGGCAGTTGCATGGTTTCCATTAAACATTCTGAAGGAGCTTAAGAGCCCTCATTGGAGTTCCCTACACCATGGAGTTCCCAGCATTGTGTGTTCTGGGGCTGAAAGGAGCGCAGGTCCTTTAAGATGCTAGCTATAGGATCCACAGCTGTTACTAGGTCTGTGTGTCCTGGTGCCTACTTTATGCTGAGAACTTGGCCTGTGGGTGCCTCCACAGAAATGTCTTAGCCTGGGCTTCTTTGTATCCTCTGCCTTCCTCCTGGTCTCCACACAGGCTATAGGTCTCTTCTCATCTCTGACCTTACATTATCTCCTCCAGGTTTCCTTTTGGCACTGACCCAGGGCCGAGAAATCCAGGCTCAGAATTCCTTCTCCAGCTTCACCCTGATGAAACTGAGGCACTCCTCCGCCCTAGGGGGGGCCAGCCTAGGGGCCAGGCACATTGGGCACCTTCTCCCCATGGACTACAATGCCAATGCCATTGCCTTCTATTCCTACACCTTCTCCTAGGGGGCTGGCCCTGGCTCCACCTACTCCAAGCTCAGTGGACATTGGGTGTGGAAGGGAGGGGTCTTCTTTTTCCTTTTTTAAATAACACATATAGAGGAAAATAAATGCACTTTACCCTATTCTCCAGCTGGATTGTGTTATCAAGCAGTCTTGCTATTTACATGGTCTCCATGTGCAGCCTCACAGTATACTTCCAGCCGTTATCCCAGGGGGCTCAGGAATGGTTTTGTCCCAGATTTAAAGCCACACCTCCAGGTGCTCAGTCTGTGGTTTATACCCAGTCATCATGCTCTTGGACTGACAATTTATGCAACCCAGAATATCCCCATTAGCATACCATATCCCATACATACCATGTATGCTGTATTGACTGCCAGTTAACCAGTGACCTGTTTTCTCCTGCCTCACAAGTCAGTGGAGCTCAGTGGTCTCCATGTGCAGCCTCACAGAAAGTAACCTTAGGTATATCATACCTTTTTCTGAGACTCCCAATAGGTTTTAAGGGCCATACAATTCCAATCTTGGAGAGTTTTTATTTCATTGGATTTGGTAGTCGTAGGTAAGCAGGATGTTTTGCTGTTTCTCATATGAATGAATTCTTGAGAGTTTATGAGGATTCCTGAGATCCAAAAAGGCCCAATTAGGCTTAAGTAGGTGGCTTACCTACCTATTCCTGGTTCTAGTTACAGCATGACAGTTTTGTGTTTGCCTTGTGGATCTAGGAATGATCAGCATCTGTAAAGAGCAGATATTCCTGTCCTCTGGATTCTGGAGTTTGATCAGCTTCCTGTTCTGCTGCTTGTGCTGCTTAAAAATCAAAGATAGGTTTTGTTGTTGTTGTTTTTGGGTTTTTTTGAGGTACTGGGGTTTGAACTCGGTAGGTTTTGTTGTTTTTGGGTTTTTTTTGAGGTACTGGGGTTTGAACTCGGTCTACGCCTTGAGCTACTCCACCAGCCCTTTTTTTGGAAGGGTTTTTTCAAGATAGGGAGGGCCTCACAAACATTTTGCCCAGGCTGACTTCAAACCACAGTCCTTCTGACCTCTGCCTCCTAAGTAGTTAGGATTACATGTGTGAGCCACTGGCACTCGGCTCCAAAGCTGGTTTTGATCCACAGTGGCTGCTTCCACAGGGATCTAGGGGGTAAGCCATTAGAAGGTATGGATCATATCCTGGACATAGTTCTCAAAACATGTGCATCAATTCTAGAGTTTGTTTTCCAATCCATATTTATTTTTCTAAGAGATGGGGTTTCATTACGTTGCACAGGGTGAACTCTAGGACTCAAGAGATACTCCTGCCTCAGCCTCCCAAGTAGCTGGGACAGTAGTCATTTGCCACGTGTCTGGCTGGAAATTTTCTTTTCTGCCAAATCACTTGGGTAATTTTTGCCACAGAGGTCTAGCATCTGTTCTTGAGGGAGCTTTACCCAACAGCTTTTGAGTCCTGACTAAGTCCTCCCTCCAGTGGGTCTTAGATACTATATTATTGCCCAAGTCAGATTACCTTTTATTCATAGAGCAACACTCATTGAACATAATAGCTACAGCTCTAATCCCATTGGCTGTTGCCAAGTACAGCAAGCTGGAGTTTTGAGCTCTAAGAACTCAAGCTAGGCTGATTCTGAAGGGCAGCCCTCCCATCTTCACAGCCAGGCTTGACCAAACCCTTGGGGGGAGGTGGGCACAGCACTCAACAGTCTCTACTGCATTGTAAAAACCTTGCAGAAAACAAGGACACAGCAGAGCACCTTTGCTACATCCCATAGTCCTAACAACACTGTTAGTTGAGTGGTGACCTTGGTGGTTATATTTTTGTTTTTAACATGCTTTCAGGACTGGGCTCAAGCAGTGTTTTAGTGAGAAGTTTATAAATACTGATGCCTAGTTATGTTCTTCAGATAGGCCCATCATTTTCCCTTACCATTGCCTGAACTCCACAATTCCAGTTGGACAGTGTAAGTCTTAGAGCAGAATAAGCAGCACTTTTTTTGTTTATTTTTTAGTGCTGGTGCATGAGTGTTGAAGAAACATTAGCTGAAAAAACTGAAGGCAGTTATTTTCTTTTTGTGGTGCAGGGAGCTGAAACCTGGGGCCTCATGCGTACCAGACAAGAGCTCTACCACTGAGCTATATTTCCTCCCCCACCCCATGAAGGCAACCATAGCTGTTTCTAGTTCCCATCACATTTAGTAAATGGGTTAAGGTTGCTTACTTTCCACTCAGGCTCTATTACACAAGTTGCAGTGCAAAAAAAACAATTTTTTTAATGACGTTCACCCCCTTTAAATTTGTATTCTCCCAAGAAGGTAGCAGGAGCAATTCATAGGATCTTTGACAAGGTTAAGAGAACCTAGAACAGTCCTATGACAAGCAAAGACAGCAATAAGCACTGGACTTAAATAAGGCTAACATTGCCTTTGTCTACTTGTGATTTCGTGGTCTGCATAGCCTTGTTAGTCCCATCCATTCAGCTAACATGTATTGAATGTGTAATGAATGTTCTAAGGATTAAAAATAAGTAACCCCTTTCAGTTAGCGAAGTCAGAACTGCACATTTAAAACACCTGCATTTTAATGTATACTTCAAGTACATTTAATGGAAGTTTAAAAAAGGAACACACTATCCACATCTTCAAGGATGTTACACTCTAATAGGTCAGCCTGAAATACACCTATCTATAGTATCTCAAAAAGCTATAAATAGGCAAGTCCATTTCTTCCTAGTTTTGGAAGGAGGCAGTGATAGGGACCCTAGTCTGGTTCCACAATCTTTTTACTATATTATAAAGCCCCTAAAATAACTGAGAAATTTCAGTCAAGCTGTGTGTAAGTTAAAATGGTACAAATCACTAAGCTTATCTCAATAGCAAGCTGTAGGCCTCACTAGCCCAGTAGCCCCAGTGCCTCAGACCATGCCTGGTACATGGCAGGCTGTCAAGCACTCAGTAGTTAAAAGGCATATATGGAATCTCTTCACTTATTTTCTAGGTAGGAGTTGACTTTGCCCAAACAGGAAAATAATTATCCAGTTGCCCTTTCAGCCCAAGGATTCCCTTTTACCACATCTTTGCTCAAAGTGTACATATCTCCATTATTACCTACCAGGTACTCAGGTGCCTTCAACATGCCAGTCAGTATTTTAATTTTCATTATTCTCATTTTCTAATTGTTTTTAATTTTCATTATTTTAATATTCATAGTAGCTTGGGGTGTGTGTGTGTGACACCTTTACAAATAAACTTCTGGCCAAAGGGTACAAAGAAACTCCTGAAAGTGGGATTTCACTCAGATCTCCCAAACTCAGGCTTTCACTATTCTGTAATCCTATTTGGAAGGAAAACTATGCAATAGAAGCTCATCCATCTTGCAACAGATCTTCCAAACCACACATAGCCCCTTATAGTATGGTGATACGTAGTGACCCAGCTTTAGGAAAAGGCACCACTGCCAATGAATGCATTTTATTCTCATTTTATTGAGATTTTTCAACAGCTGCCATTTGGTTTGAAGAAATAGCAAAAATTTAAACTTTTTTTTTTCATTTTTAAAGTTTTCATGAAAATTATTTTCTTCAACTTTGAAGCCCTGTCCCTCCCCAAAGAAATAATAACTGCCATATAACGTTTAGGGGGAGAAAAAAAGAAACAACAGCTTTTAAACACTTGTGCAACAGGGTAAGGGCCCAAAGTCTAGACCTGTGTTGGATGGAGATGTTAGGCTTCTTCCAGAACCATAAACCATTCATCAAGCATACATATAGCTGTGTGGGCTGTGCACAGACCCTTTGGGACTTTTTGTTCCATAAGCTCCATTCCCTCTCCCCTCTCCACCTCTGCTGTTGGTCCTCCTTCCCTCCAAATATGTCTAACAAAGGCAGTATGACCTTTAATACATGTGCAGCTTTGTAAATGAAGATACTGTATTTACAAAGTTCAGATTCCCCTGTCCAGTCTGGGGAAGGAAAAAACACTGCACTGATGGTTTCATTTTCTTGTCTACTCATATGTTTATAATTTTTAAATGGACATATCAGATACTTCAGTGTTTCAAAAGTCCTGACTTGTAATAGCACAAAAGTTCCTTGTGAGAAAAAACATTGCAAAATTATAAAAATTTCTGCTGCTGTTGAGGCTCCCGTGGAGCTTCTGATGACAAAGATAGTTTAAAAAGTAGCTCATCTGATGCACGCAGCAGCTCCCCTATGAGACCTATGGTCCCATTCAGAGCGTTCTGTTCAGACCACAGAAGTTGAAATCCAAGTTTAAAAGGCTCTGCTGACAAAATGTGCCATATCCATCAATGGGATACTCAGCAATAAAAGGAACAAACCTCCAAAACATGTATGTCAGGACTAACTTCAGAAAACTCTATGCTAAGTGAAAAGATTGACATGAAATGTCCATAAAGGATGAATTTACAGTGCTAGAAAGTAGGCTAGTGGTACCTGAAGCTGGGGGTGGGCCAAGGACTAAGTAAGCATGAAGGATCTCATTGGGAGGGATGCAAACATTCTAAAATTGGATAATGGTTATGGCTGCACCACTGACGAAAGTTACTAAAATCATTTACTTATACATTATGGATGAATTTTGGTATGTAAAACATGCATCATTGAAGTTTTAAAAAAGACTGTCTCCCAGCTACCCTACAAGCTTTAGGTAAACATTTTTAAAGGTTCACAGTCAACAGGGCAGGATTTTCCCTTAATATAGGTTTACAGAGTAAAAATTTTACTACTTTACAGAAAATACATTTTAGGGGTTGGGAACATAGCTCAGTGTTAGTGCTTACCTAGCATGTGCAAGGGCCCTAAGTTTGATCCCCCAGCACCACAAAAATGAGAAAAAAATGTCAATTTTTTTGCAGTATTAAATAGACTAGAATGTTTCTTAATTTGTGTTAAATAAAAGATAGCCTGTAAGAAGGTAGACATAGGCAAGAAAGTTCAGCAAATCTTTCAAATGACATTCTTGGCAACAAAATCTAAGTGGGTTTTTTTTACATAAAAATTTATAATAAACATGGTGCACAAGTTTCTTTCCTGTCCCCTGGGAGCAGGAAGTGTGAATTTCTCTGCCCACAAGCTAGAGAGCAGTGTATCTAATTGCCTATTCCCATGACTTCCTTAACAATAAGGCTGACTGGGAAGGAACATCAGTAGGGGGTTGGGCAGTGAGAGCAGAAGGCCAAATAGCTGTAAATCTGAGTGCTTCCCTGTTGGTCACCAGTAGTAGCTGTAGCTTGAGGAATTAAGGGGGAAAATCCCAACCTCTTTCCCAAGTGTTTCTTAACCAAGCCTATGGCAGCAGAGCAGGTGCTGTAGGAGGCATTCCCTACCACACAAAGCAGCAGGAACTATGGCAACAAGGTTGGGGGGGTAGGGTGGAGCTGTGAGCAAAGGTCAAGGTCCCCATTACACATCAAGTCAGGGTCAATCCTTCTGTTCTCTACCCCCCCTGCCAACCTAATGATGTTGACATTCTCCTAGAGGAGAGTGGCTGGGGTTACACAGACTTTCCAAAAGTAGGCATCTCCAAATCTTGCTCAGATTTGTCAGATCTCTATAGGTTCCCATCCTCAGCATTCCCTAAACCAACATTACTTGCATATAATACCAAGACTCTTATTGAAGAGACCTCCAATCATAGGAGGGTAGATTCAGAAACACTTGTCTCTAGTGTTTGTAGCAGCCATAATGCAAGAAGATTCATTCAAGCTGCTTCCTTTAGCTACCTCTTCACACAATTTACTAACTTTAATTACCAGGATGTTTACCTGGCTTGCTTACTTCTCAACCTCTCTAAAATTAAGACAAAGCTTTCACATTATAGCAGAAGACAATTTGGAAAAATACTGCTTAGTATTTCACTAAAAACATTTATTTTTAAACCATAGTTATAATTATAACCTTAAAGGGATCCCAGCTATTGTGACTGTGAAAACTAAAGCTACTACAAAGATCCAGCCTTTTCTTTACAATCCTTTGTGGTTTGCCTGTAGATGATTCCTAAAAGACAACTACTGTGGAGAGAAACTGGTTCCAGACCCAGAGCTGTATGTGCCCAGGCCTAGGCTATATCCTCAAATTTTCTGTTGCAGTTCAAAGTGTAGAGAAACTGAAAGGGCATTCCTTTAATAATTTTTTTCCATTGAAGAGAAATTGTTTCCATTTTGTAATCAAGCAAATAATCACAATACTCAATCGCTAATAAAGTAATAAAGATTGGCAACTGTTAAAAATATATGTTCTTTTTCTATACAAATTCTCAAACTTATAGTTGCCAATTAAAAAAAAGTCAAAACAGAGTAGTGGCTTAAATTCAACATCAAAATTATCACTTATAAACACAAGTCTTGCCATTAAAAGGTAAAGGTGTTCAGCCTGGCCAATATCCAGAACCTTCAAGGAAAAGTAACAGATGCTCCCAGCCCTTCCCAGCCCTTGCAAGAAGGGCTTGCAAAGCTCACATCTCACATAAATTTTCTGCCAAGAAGTTGGCAAACTCTAACCAGGGTTTAACCTGAAGTGGGGGGAAGGGGGAACAACTGTGCTTATACCACACAACATAAAATTGATGGTGAAAGAGGTGGGCTACAGGAAGAAGTGCAAGTATTACACATTAAACAAGGGATTCACCTTGCTAGCTGCTTCCTCAGCACATTCTGCATCTGAGTAGAACCAGGAACTCTAATCCTCAGAGTCCAGGTTCATTCAGTAATACTAACTTTCTTACTACTGACCAAACACATCTTGTGAAATCCTGCTGAAGACTGATATCCAAAATGGGCCAGCACAGCAGAGGGCAAGGCAAAACTCTTGGACCACACCTAACAGTTTGCTTACTCTGGCATCAAAAGATCAATCCTTCAAGATGGAGCAATGGCTACTCTGGGTCTCTGTAAGCCTTTCCAGATGGGTAGCTAAGCCAGAGTACATTATACTCTTTGTGACGGAGATGCCCAGGATCTTCAAAAAGCTCTTTCCTTCAACCACAACAAATTTCCAACAGCTTTCAGCATTCTAAGTTTGGACAAGCAAATACAGACTGCAGCAGGAGCAGCAGTCCCAGAACAGAGATTTCTTCTATTTACGAATTGCCAACACCCTCTCCTTATTAGAAGCTGGAATAAAGTTTCTTTACTCAGAGTCCTCCCTGAAAAAGACTTAACAGTTTCATTCTCTGGAGTTAGAGGCTTTGGGAATTAATGTTCATGTCTGGCAATACAAGTTCCCTAAGCTATTCTCCTATGACTCATAACCTAGTGAGGAAGGCCATTTTTCAAATTATGCCACACTATAAGACTTAAATGAGGAAAACATTTGGGTTTGCATTTTAAATATGGCATTATCCTGTTGTCCAAAAAGTCAACAAGGGAGGTTGGGGACATAGCTCAGGAGTAGGGTGCTCGCCTAACACTCATAGAGGTTCTGAGTTCGATCCCTAGTACCACAAAAGAACACAAGAATAATCAAAAACCTCCAACAAGTCAATAAGGGAACTCATAAGAAAACGAGTTTCTTCAGCTTTCCAGATCCTAGTCCTTTCCTTCCAACCTCTGTCCCACGTCCACATACTGAATTTACACTGACTTTATTTCAAGTTACATGATCTTTCCCTTAGATGACTTATCACACAGCACAGCAGTACGTCATACAAAAGCCACTACATTCTCAAGTCTCTGCAAGTCCTTGTCCTGGGAGAATGGCCAGGACTGGATACTCTTTCACACCTGACAAAGCCACCTACATCTCTATTACAAAGCCAGCTCCTGGTGCCTAGTTTAGTTCTGTTGGAATACAGTAAACTTGCCTTATTTGTGGATTTATTATACGCAGTTTTAATTAAATATGGTCAAAAATAATTTTTTAAAAAATCAAAAGAAATTTCAAAAACAAAGAATTTAAGTTCCCACCCATGCAATCATTACACAGCTCAGTTGATGCAGAGAAGCTCTAGGTCAATCCTGCATTATCATGAGTTGTTTTTAAATCATTGGATAATCTGCTGTTTCCCTGTCCTTATTTTTGTGAAAATATGCCTCTCAAAGAGCAAATGGTGCCCCAAAAGCAATGTTAAAAAAAAAAAGTTAATGTGTTTAAGTGATAAATTGCAAAATTTTAAGTTCACTGAAAGGCAGCATGTCTTTAGCAGAAGTTGGGCAGCGTTACCGGAAAAACAAATCAAACATCCGCACTACAGGACAGTACTGAACTCTCTGTATCCTGAGCATCTGTGTTTTTTCTTTAATGGCGGTCTCCTTGGAACCATATAACTTGTGGATAGCAAGGGTCTTTTGTGTCAACAAAAAAAATACCAGTGAGTTACTTAGGCAGGAGAGACACCAAGAACATACCCAGAAAAGTCAATTTTGAAAACCTGAAAAGCTGGGTGTGTGGGAACACTTAAGTAATAGTTTTATATACCCAATACACAGTCACGTGAGTCAAGCAGGACTCCTAAGGTTGTTTCTGAGTTCCTTTGCATAATTCTGTAAGGCAGGGAGAAGCATTCAAACTGTAAATTGAGTTCCTTGCTAGTGTCCTATAAAATATATTTCCTTCAACAAGTGCAGAAACCTTTCTGAGGGAATTAAGATACTAGGAGAACCAAGTATTGATGGGACTGGAAAAAAATTATTCAAGTTTAAGACACAACTAGCAGGATTCAAGGATGACTTCTCCAGGCTCAAGCTGACAACCACAACAGTAAGCCTGTCTTCCACAACAGTATTTTTTCTTAAAAAAAGAATAGGATTTGGGGTAGAAAAGAGATGGGAATAATCGTTGTGATGGTCAAGGTGTAAATCAACCCTAAGCACTCTTTCACCTTGTAAATGAGAAATCTGATGGTAGTTGTAAAAAGCTACTAAATGACTCAAGTGACAATCACCAAAACAGTAATTAAATGACTCAAGTGACAATCGCCATCATAGGCCTCCACTTCTGATTTACAATTTTCATCAATCATCAAAAGTTACCACGAGCCAAGAACTTTAAGGCTTGTGTTTCCTTAAGTGGGGTTCAGGGTAGAAAAACAAGGGTGTGGCAGGACACTGGTAATCCCAGTTCATTGTGGAAACTTCAGGGCCCAGGGGAGCCCTTCATCTTCTGATTCGCATCACCTGTTTCTTCCACTTGTCTCTCTCTCTTCCTATTCAGCTTAACAGACTCCAAAAGTAGCTCCAGGTGCTCCTTCCTCCTGGTAGGTATACAGCAGTTTGAGAGGGTATTTCTTAAATACCCAATTTTCCTTGGTCAGCTTATTTTGTTTAAACACAGGCAGTAGAACATTCCTGACAAAGGAAAAGCAATTGCAATTTCCTCAACTCAAAAAGAAAACAACAAAATAAAACAGGAAACTGCTCCAAACAAGTCAGTAGAACAAAAGAGAAATACTCAGAGGCTTGTAGAATAAGACTGAGCACATTACTCAGAATCACAGTATCCAGTTAAACAACCATTCCCCTTCCCAGCTGTGCACCCCTTGCCCACCCCCCACTTCAGCTCCGCCTTTTTGTGCATCACTATCCCCAGATGTGGGGACAGACAAGCCCTCCTCAAAGCTTCTGTCAACTCAGTACTTCACTCCTGGAATGAACTCCTTGGCGTCTGGGTTCAGGTTACTTTTGCTCTGAAATAACAACCAATAATAAATCTCAAGTCAAGCCACATTTTAAAATGTATTTCCTCCCCACTTGAATTTTTTCTTTTTTTCATTTGCTTGCTTGTTTTATACAGTGCTGGGGATAGCATCCAAGGCCTCACACATACTAGGTAATACTTCTACCACTGCACCAGCTATACCCCAGTACGTACCCACACTCCCCATTATTACCAGTACTTTCCCTTAGATTTAAGGAGAGAGAGAAATAAAATTCCTTGTAACTCAGGCTGTTACGGATGGGCTGCTCTCAACAGCTCCTGATACACTCAGCCCTGACCAATCTCATTTTTTCCTTCCTGCTTTAGATTTGCTTTCCTTCAGGATGCTTTCCAAAATTTCAGCAGCCTGTAAGTTTGACTCTGAAGAGTTTTTTTTTTTTTTTTTCCAATTCACTGAGTACCTTAACTTGTGGAAAACAGAGTATTGCATGAAATTAGTCTGGTAACCACAATCTCTACACAATCTCTATTTTTCTTCATCTTTCTTTACTCTCTGGTTATCTATGCTTTTTTTTTCTTTTTTTTTTTTTTGGTGGTACCGGGGCTTGAACTCAGGGCCTACAGGTTGAGCCACTCCACCAGCCCTGTTTTTTGTTAGTTATTTTTGAGACAGGATCTCTCGAGTTATTTGCCATGGCTGGCTTTGAACCGCGATCCTTCTGATCTCTGCCTCGAGTGGCTAGAATTACAGGAGTGAGACACCAGTGTCCAGCTCTACTCTCTTAAGAATACCCCAAATGTTGGCAAACTGCAGGCCACAATCATTCAGAACATGAGTTGTGTGAGAACTACAATGTTCATAGAACTGACATTACATAAACATGGAAGGCAGGGAATTCACTTATCTGGCCCAACTGCAAGCAGAAAATGGCCTCTTAGGAGTACTGTAACAGGTACTTAAACTACTCTTGCTGAAAAGCACTGATTCCCTTAAACTAACTAAAAGCAAGGTAAGAGTGACAAATCCCAGCCACCATTTTGTATCTGTCTTTGTTCTAAGCCATTTATTTTGCAGCAACCTTAAAATCCAGGAAGGATAGGACTGATCAATAACATGTTTGCAAGGAGGGATAGAGAAAACTGCCCCTAAGGAAAGCAATACCAGAGCAACAATGACTGGCTCATCCTAACCAGACTTATGCCCTCAAGTGATGCCAGTGATAACAACTTCTCTGGAACCCCTCCTAAAACAAGGGCAGATAATGATCTGAGACTGGGCTAGCATACATTTTGCCCCATCCTAATTCTTTTTCTATTTAAACCAAAAGCTCATGTCTGTACCACAAAAATGGCTGAAGTGCTTCCTTTGCCTCTTCCTGACTGTACTGTGTAATAAATGACCTTTCTCTGCCCTTCACTGTTACTTGTTTATTTGGCACTCTGGGGCTAGTAGATGGACCTTACATATGGAATCCCTGGAGTTTGGTTTGGGACCTGAAACTCTGGTTTCAGCTTGTTCCTTCCAAAATGAACAGGCAATTTTTCTAACAGAGTCATTCAGAAATAGAGTATATTAAATAGAAATAGCAAGAGAAGGACAATAGCAAATGATCATTTGACCCAAACATCTATTTTCAAATTTTATCCTGTCCCAATTCTTCTTTGAAAAGCCCAGCAGGAGAAAATGAAAGTTGGTGACACTGGCAACAGCACTATTTTCACAGTGTTCTGTGAGGAGCAACACATCTCCATTGCACCCTCTGATCAAACTCATCTGAAGAGTGAAGAGGCGGCAGCTCAGAGGGCTCCAGAAACTCATTGAAGGTTGTAGGGACAGAAAGAGTCTGTGACTCCAAATCCTATATTCTTTTTACCACATCACCTGGGGAACTACACGTTGCTCTTACCAAAATATCCTCACATTCATGACTGTCACTGATGGACAGTCCATTTAACTGCTGCTGCAACTGTCCCATGGCCTGAGGCAGGTCTCGTGCTGGAATGAACCAGTCTTGGTCTTCCTCATCCAGCATCTCCTGGAAGCAGCGGTCTAAGAAGTCTTGCTCCTGTAATTCTTCCTCCACCTGCAAGCAGAGAGGAGCAGCTCAGATCTACTTGTCCCAGAAGACTCATCCTTTCCAGGGTTTCGCCAAACCCTTTCCTTCAGAGGTCCTTCTGCAACTCAAAATGATCTCATATGAGATCTTAATATTAACATGTTTGTAAAGACCAGGTAAACATAATTTTAATTTTTTCATTCAAATTCCATCAATAATAAAGCTGACAAGATAGTTATTCAAAACAGCAGAAATTTCAGGCCTTTACAAATCTTTTAAGATCTACAATATGTAACACAGATATTTTCCATTTATATGGCCTCATGGACAACTGTTTTACAGCTTGAAAATTTCCTCTCCATTTTGTTAAGAAGCAACCCTTCTTAAATTTCCCATTTTATAGGAAGTATGCAAAAAATGTAGGAAGCAAGCAATTAGGCCATTATTTGGATATTGGAGATTAAATCAAAACCAAGTCTCAGCTCTTGGCCCATCTTTCTTCTGAAAGATATGAAGAATACTTTCTGGCATATCAATACAAAATTATGACATCAATGCAGTATTAGCTCAAGAAAAAAACTGAGTATTTTCTTTGATTTTTTTGGCGATTCTGGGGCCTATACCTTGAGCCACTCCGTGAGCACTTTTTGTGATGGATGTTTTCGAGATAGGGTCTCACTAAACTATTTACCCGGGCTGGCTCTGAACCGTGATCCTCCTGATCTCTGCCTTCTGAGTAGCTAGGATTAAAGGCATAAGCCACCAGCACCCAGCTAAATTTCTGAATATTTAAATAGCTCCACATTTCTTAAATACTACCCAAACTAAAGCAATACAAATATATGTAGGGTTTTTGGGGGTTTTTTGTTTGTTTGTTTGTTTACAGTTCTTTACACACACCACTTAGTAAGAGAGTGATTCACTGAAGATTTCAGTGACTTCAATAGGATTCAATAACATTTCTGTCTGGTCTATAAGCCTCACACTCAATGACATCTTTTCAAAAGATCAATGACCGTCACTCTAGTTTTTGACTGTTATAAGGTGTTTTGCTTTCATGCAGCTTGAGTTGAATAAGAAGAAGAAAGAAATTGGGAGTCTAGTTAGAAACCCTGATACAGTGTCTTCTGACTTACTGACAGAATATCTAAGAAAAGAGAATAAGATGCAATCTGATGGTGGTAAGAATTGTACAGTTAATGGGGGTACATAAATGCTTCACATTTGGCAAATACCTTTCCTGCAGCCTGCCTGGTGACTAATTCACAGCTCACTAATGCTACCATCAGACAGGAGGTCAAACAAAAAATAAATTATAGCCTATAAATGGCCTATAGGTACTTCATGAATTCAAGTCTTGTTAAGATTTAAGAAAAATATTTCAATTTGACAATTATCTACACATTTTTAAATCTCAAATTATATAATTATGAAGTTCCTAAAATAACTACAACAAAATGTTTCCAAGCCACAAGACTTATGACTTTGTGTTTGAAATTTCCTGGTACTTTCTCTCTCCATTCTTTTATATATTCTGTTCCTGAAGAATTTTACTTCTGATATCTCTCTTTCAGGGCCTTGTCAGATAAACCTATCTCCCTTATTATAGCAATAACTGATTTTTTTGTATAAAAGTTGGGAAATTAGAACTAAGAAAACCAAAATAAAAGAAAAAAAGTCACTCTTAATCTCAACTCTCAGAAATGGATGAATATTGTTGACATTTTGGATTATACTTCTGATTTTTACTTACTAGATAACCCAAGGGAAAGTGACAGGATGGTAATTAGAGTAAAAGAAAAAAGTCCTTTAACTAGATACATGCAAAAGACCCATAGGATTTACAAATTCACTATGCATTTTTCATCTCTTTCCATATCATGGATAGTTCAGTGACAGCACATTTTGTAAACTGCATATAATTATTTTTTGCCATTCCTCACCTTAATCCAAATGAGTCTTTTTCTCTTCTTTCTTAAAAATTCTGTACGTGTGGGGCTATAAACCATTCACATTTATAATTAGTATATTTGATTTTACTTCTTCCCTTCTTTCAGTTATATTTTCTAAGACCTTGAATGAGTGATACTATCTTTATTGGAACTTAATCCTTTCTCCCCTCAAAACTGCATTTCTGTCTGATCTATCAGCCTCACACTCAATGACATCTTTTCAAAAGATCAATGACCATCACTCTAGTTCTTGAGTGTTATAAGGTGTTTTGCATTCATGTAGCTTGAATAATAAAAAGAAAGAAATTGGGAGTCTAATTAGAAACCCTGATACAGTATCTTCTGACTTACTGATGGAACATCTAAGAAAAGAGAGTAAGATGCAACTTGGTGGTAAGAATTGTACAGTTAACAGGGGTACAGAAAGAACTAATATCAACCAAATCTCAGATCCTAAACCCTCCTGCTCTCAAATGACAAATAAGATTTCTCTGAAATCCTCAATCCCCTGGCTTGACATTGCATAACAGTTTCAAAATAATGTTGCTAGGACTGGAGATATAGCTCAGTGGTTTAGTGTTTGCTTCAAAATAATGTTGCTAAGCTAGTATTACCTGTGACATATTAGAGTTGTGGGAATTTGAGCAAACAAATGTTTACCTGCTTATCCTTTCTAAGACCATGGTATTTACTCCAACCCTTGAAGCTATCATCACTTTCCTAGTCCTCCCATAACAAGTTACAATTGTGAAAGCTTCTAATCCATCTCATGTGTGTGTGTGAGTGTGTGTGGGTGCGCGCACGCATGCACATGTGTCTCGGCGGGCTCCTAGCTTTCCATGCACCCTACCTGGGTTTGCTAAACTCCCATATATAGGAGTTCAGAGGACCCACAGTGCAACATCTGGCTCTTAATTCCAATCCTAATCAGTGGGGTTAAGAGCAGCACATCAATGAGTATTATCAATGCCAGAAGAAACTGTCATTATCATTATTTTTGGTGGCACCGAGGACTAAACTCAGGGCCTTGCACTTGCTAGGCAGGTGCTTTACCACTTGAGCCTCATACCCAGCACAAAGCCAGAAAAAATTATATAATTATCAATAACTTATTTTTCAGTAAGAGACTGAAACTACAAAACACAAAACACAAAAGCCAAACACAACTACGCTAAAATCCCATGGAAAATTCATCCTAGGGCTGGAGGTGTGGCTCAAGCAGTAAAGCACCTGCCTAGCAAAGTGCTGAGTTCAAATCCCAGTACTGTCAAAAGAAGAAATTATACCTTCACTCAGAATTCTTAAACATCTGTTTTATCTATATTTATTTTTAAAATGAAATGCAGTTTCACATTTCCTATAAGCAAATAAAATTGGTAAGTCCAAAAGCATAGAAAAAACAAACTCACTACCATTCTGCTTCTTATTGCTCCACAGTGCAAAGCACTTAATTTCATATTACTCATAATAGTTATAGAACCACAGTAGTCCCTAGGATTAAAGCTGGAGTCAGGGCAAGATAAAGAACTTCTGCTTTGTTGGTTTGGTTCTCTGGGATTAGGGAGCAACTTGTTTGATTTAAAATCTAGGAATCTCCTTCAGTGGTTTATAGTCACCTATAGAAATCCAATAAACAAATGTAGCCAGAATGAGGCTGAGAGCAGGTCATCTCTGCAGGAGTTACTGTGTAATATAAACTATGTCTAAGAGGGTATATCATAGTGTAGAGGTATCTACAAATCTATTTGGTTATGCATGGGCTCAGTTGATTACTCTAATGCTTCTGTCCTTTTTTAAATTAGCACGATAGAAAATTATAAATGTATACCTCCAATGTATGGTCATGCTGGTCTTTTACCATATGAAGAGACTTCTTAGTCATTCCAGATGAGGCCTCCAAATATTTTTACATTATTCTAAAGCAAACCGTACCCATTTATTCTGTACAGACTCACATTAAAATATTATGCCTGCTGAGCTACATGTATTGAGACAAACAGAAGGATCCTAGGGCACTGGGCCAGGGGTTAAACACTGTTAAAATTCTGTTGAGATTGTTAGTTTTGTGTTGAGCTTTCTTTTAATCTTTACTGTAAGTATTCTATTTTTTTTTTTTTCTGTAAATGAGGAAAACCACAGGGAGCCAGCAGTTCAAGTCTTTGAAAATGGCAGTAGATAGACCCTTTACCTATGCTTGGTAGCCAAGCAGTGAACTGTCAACCAAGCAGCCACTTTTTGTAGGATAGACTGCTCTCCTGGCAGCCCAGCTGTTTTGGACATTTCATGATCACTCTGGGAACACTCCAACTTCAAGGACTCCTGTTCCAGGGGGCCTTGTCCTAGTCACAATCACAATCATTCCTGACAACCTGTACAGGCCTTGGAAGGCAGCATTCCAGGTAAGACATGCCTCGGTGAAATTTAGATGACCCTGCAGCCAAATTAAGATAAATCAAAATTAAGATGCAAGGAGGAGCACCTCCTCAGTAACTTTACAAGAAGTCAGTGATTGATACAATTTGGGACTTATGACTTATGATCGATCGATCAGTCCTTACATAAGGCCTGTGATCAGTCTCTATGCTAGGCCTATGATTAATGGAACTGGAAGCTGTACTATGATTAGTGCAAATATAATCCTTCATTTGCATGCCATACACCCTTCCTGGCTATATAACTGAGATACTCTCCTGTGGTGCTCCCTAGTGTTGAAACATTAGTCCCAATAAAAGCCTTCTGAACCCAAGTGGTCTTTTCTTTGCCTGCTTGTGATTTTTATCGTAAGTAGAGCAGGCTGAGTTGTAACACAAAGAGGAACTACAGCAGCTCTGCTGAAGAGCTTCATAGAGTAGCCAGGGGTAAAAGAAGAAGTATACAGAAAGACGAGAAGACGGGAGGCCCCAACTACCGCTGTGTAGAACTGAGGATTTCACTAGTGTCAGGCCCCTGACAACCAAAATACAGAGCAGTAAGCCTCTAACCTTAGCACCTAGAGCTATATGGATCTGACTATTAAGGTCCAGAGCTCAGGGTTTGGAGCTATAAGCCTCTTTGTCTGTCAGCCCAGTCAATAAGCCTTTGGCACTCAAGGGGCCTAGACTACCAAAACCAGTGTGATTTCCACTGGAGTAAAGCAAAAAGACCACAGCCAGCTTATTGGTAACAGTATCATAAGCCTTCCACTTCCTCTTTACCTGTCTGTTGAAATCTTCTTCATTCTCCATCCACATGTACTCTGCAAATGGATTTTCCTTTTCATCATGCCCATTTAACCCTTGGTCCTCTTTGGATATTACATTGGGTGATGTATTTGCCACACTGGATCCATTCATTATGATAGAATCTAAATACGAACAAAAGAAGATCAAATGAATATAAAAATCAAAGAAATGTAAGCCTAAAATATCCAGATTCTTTCATACGCGTGTGAAATGGTAAGCCAAAGATTTTAAATTAAATGAACAGAAACTGTTAGTCTGTGACAGTTATAAAACCAACTATATCCTGAAGATGTATAGTTCCTTAAGAATGAAGAGGAAAAAAAGTCTAGGCTTATTCTTTCTAGGCAAGAGCTATAGGATGGGGAAAAAGGATTAGAATCTCCTCATGCCAAATGTCTAAGATCCTAAAACCAAACCTAGATCGGCTTCCTTAACATTTAAATAGCAAGAGAAAAATGCATTCTTAATAAATATTGTAAGCACTTGCTCCTTATTGATTCCCAAGATGTTTTTCTTTAAAATGTATTTAAGAAATAATATATATTAGTTCTATTAATAAGCAAAAAAAGGAGAAAAAAATTCACCAGTTGTCCAACCATCTAGAATTAGGAACAATTAACAATTATATAACCTTCCTGACACCCTGGATGTATATGTAGATATACATACATACATTCTCCAAATATCCTCTCTATGATCACATGATACATGATGCTCTGCCATTATTTTTTTCTCATTTCTATGTTAATATTATCATACTGTCTTTGTGGGTGTTTCCAGTGTTTCTGTAATAAAGTTTGGATGAACTTCTGTTCATCTTTTCTAATGATTTCCTTAGAATATCTCCTAGAAATGGAACTGCTACACTGTAGATTTTTTAAGGTTCTGATTTATTGCCACCCTGCCATAGACTAAAACTCCATCAGCAGTGTACAAGTGCCTGTTTCCCCAACATTCATGAGTGCTAGAATTTTTAAACCATTTCCAGTCTCATAAGAGAAAGCCTGGATTTTATTATTTACATTGTTAAAAACTTTTTGCTGAGGCTGAATATTTTGAGATATGGTTACTGACCATTTTTCTATTAAGATATATACATTTTCCTTATCTTTTGTAAAAACTTTTATTGTATTTGTTGTAATTTTTTTAAATAATTTTAAAATTACTTGTAAAAAATTTTATAGCAAAATTTATAAATTGAGGTTATACTTTTTGGCAGCAATTTTTGCTAGACTTAATTTTGTCTACAGCTTGTATGTGTATGCCTGTCCATAGCTCTTAAAGGCACATATGGGGCTGGGTTTAGAGCTCAGTAATAAGAGTGCTTGCCAGCCTGTGCAAAACCTATGCAAAGCCCTAGGTTCAATACCCAACATGGGGGGAGGAGGGAGGGATGGAAGGAAGGAGGGAAGAGGAGGGAGAGGGAGGGAGGAGGAGGAAAGGAAGGAAGGCACCTATGTACTAAAGTAATTGTTTACTTTGGCTTCTAAATCCATTTTGGTATTTTTGTTATCATTTAGAATGACTTTTTCTGTTCTTTATATAAATTTTAACCATTCTCAAAAAACCATTCCAATCTTTACTTACTTCTTTAAGCTACTGTACTTAGTGAGTGCAATGTTAATGCTATTTAATTGTTCTGCCTCATATGCACAAATGATCTCCTTCCAATTAGATTCTTGAATCTTGAAAAACAAGACTGAGGTTTATACATTCTGTAACTCACCATATTAGGGGTTCCATAAATATCTGTGGTTTAATTGTTGGCAACTTATCCTCACCTCCACATGCCTTGGGACTTCTTTAAACTTCCTCTAGCAAATTATTTTCCTCTGGTTTCCATCTTGGCAACACTCCTGAAAGTTTTTCTGTCTCTGGGTACACTAAAAAATTCTTGCTAATCTTCTTTAAAAGTTTCTGCAATTTCCTAATCTGTTTTGGACATTAGAAATCTAATCTTGTATAACTGTGAAGAGTAAAGAATAAATGGAAAAACAGTTCATTGACAGTTCTAAAAGAATTTTATATAAATCAGAACCCATTTAATTCACCATAGGCTCAAGTAGGATGCCTGTATGAATATAAGAATATTTTAGCATATTTTAGAGACAAACAGAAATCAATTCCAAACACAAGTTCAGAATGGCAATTCCATGGCGCGATGGAAGGAAGGAATCCTGTTCTTTATTTTCATCACTTCCATTTGCAGCATAATAATGATAGAAGCAAGTCTTCTCTAAATGCCAGGGCAACTGTATGCATAAGTGTGGTATTCTTAAGTGCAGAGACTGTTAAAGGTTCTCAAGTTTGCTGAGTAGCAGGTTACACTGTATTATTATTTCCAAAGACTCATTTGACAGTTGTTTACAAAATCAGTACAGTAATTTCTTCCTGTCAATATGGAAAAAATCCACATAGAATCAGCATTCAGTTTTCTAAAATATTTGTCTTTATCCAAAAAATAAATTCTGAATGCACATGACTATACAGATAAAAAGGAAAGCAGAGAAAGAAGAACTCTTCTGATTTAACAGCAAGATGGATCACAGATAAGCAAATGGCAGGGTGTACTTATTCACTGAGAAAGGGAATGGAAAATGACCATAAACCCAACGTGGGGATGTTACCTGTGATTTTATGATATGAATATCTTGGGCTTCACCCAGGAAAAATGGGTAAAGCCTTTGTTTTTTTCAGTTTGTTGGCTTCAGAGTAATAAAGGTGAAAAAGTCTCCTCTCCCGCCTGCTTTGGTTTTTTTTTTTGGCCAGTGCTGGGATTGATCCCAGGACCTGTCCACTCCAGCCCCAGCCCTTTGTTATAATGTTGAGGTGCTTTAGGCCTGAGAAAGCACAATCTTTCCCTGACCTCTGCTCTCCTTTTACTTGTTCTATTTTCTCCCCAAGGTAAGGCATAGAAACTAGACTTTCTCTTCCCCAAGGCAAAAACCAAAAGTAATACTCTAATCTTTCCCTACCTTCCTTGGAATTGGTGCCATAAGGAAATTCTCTGCCCTATCTTATCTGGTAGTAGATCACAGAGATCCCCATTTCAGAAGGGGTCCTGCCATATACCTGGGAGGAAGTAATGTTACATAGAAAGGCCAAGAAGAGTCTGAATGGAAAGGCTTTGTTGGGTTTCACCACTTAATCTATTAGCATTAGATCATACCATTTTTTGTTCAATCACATTGTAACATGATTGTCCATGTTTCAATCATGCCTATACAATGAAATCTCCATTAAAGAAAAACACCCAAGGACAGGGTTCAAAGAGCTTCTGGACAAGTGAACATGTGGAGGCTTACAGAAGGTGAACACGATGAACTCATCTGTATGCTGGGAGGATGATGTACCCAACTCCACTGGGATCCTTCCAAACCTCACCCTTCATTTGGCTATTTATTTATCCAGTAAATATCCTTTATAATAAACGAGTAAACATAAAAATAAACTAGAACTGAGTTCTCTGAGCTGCTCTAGCAATTAATTAAACCCACGGATGGGGTTGAGAGAACCCCAATTGGTGACTAGTCAGTCAGAAGTTCCAGAAGTCTGGAAATTTTGACCGGTGTCTGAAGTGGGGAACAGTCTGGCAGGACTAGCTCTCACTCTGTGGGACTTGATGCATGCTACCTCCAGGTAGATAGTGTTAGAATTAAACTGAATTACAGCTGGGGTCTCCTGCAAAACTAATTGCTAGCTTGCTGTCCCCTCACATTTTGAGATCACAGAAGTGACCTGTTGTGAACTACAGTAGAAGAAACTGAGTTTGTTTTACTTCAATATTATCAGATTACTAAGCTTAAAGCAGTACTTCAAAAATGCTGAAAACACAGATATTGTATTGTCGATACTAGGAAAACGGTTCTCTCAATTTTGATACAGCATTGATTTGTATTTTATATCATTTCACTTGTGTTTGCCACATAATTGGAAAGTTTGTTTTTTCCAAACAGCAGCAATCCAACAACACCTTAATGGTACAGTGTTTCACATCTATGCTTTAAGGGATATAATGTATTCAACCTCATTTTAAGGAAAATACACAGTGCTATAGTAAGACAAAAGAAGGTACTAGATTTAGGAATTAAGCAACCTTTCTGTGTTGCTGGGCTAGTTTGTGGGCCTAGTGGGTTAAGAGTGAAGTGGTGCTCAGAGTGTCCCTTGACTTTAGTAGCTGTGTGGGAACAGGGTGAGTTTGCTGGAGATTGGGAATTCCTAGGGAGGCATGTGGATGTTTGCAACATGGGGAAGGCACAGAGTAAGACAGGATCATTGCGCTTAACTTCCCAGACTTTCCTATTCCCAGCTTCATGTGTCATTCTCTTTCTTCTCCCAGCTCTTCTCTAGCCTACCATCCATCATACTTGAACACCGAGTTTCTCTAACTATTATTATACTTTACCATTTCACATTCATCATTTAACTTGCTCCTCACCCACATCAAGGCACACCTCTGTGAACATCTATTGCAGTGGGAACAAAGAAAATATTCCCAGGGGTTTCAGAGGTAGAGAAAATGCTTGGTTTCATAATCAGGATTAAGAATCAAAACCAGCTATGTTACAGAAAGGCCCATGTGACAAGGAAATGAATCACCATATGTGTGAGCTTTAAAGTGTACCTTCCCACAATCAAACCTTCTAATGAGACAGCAGCCCCAGCTGACAGCTTGACTGCAAATTCATGAGAGACTCTGAAGAAGCACCCAGCTAAGCTGCTTCCTTCCACATATTCCTAACCTACAGAGATTATGGAGAAATAAATGGTTATTATTTTAATTCTAAGTTTCAGAATAAGTAATTATCTGGAAATAGATCACTTATACACGTATTCAATGAATACTGGCAATTAGCTCTACATGCAAACCATCAGTTGTCACATCTTTAGTTTTGTCCATTAAGAAGACAAATGTGCAGTTTAAAGTAGGTCACTGCTTGAGAAGATCTTCAAGACTTAGTCCTCACCAGTAGAAAGAGTTTAGGTCTAGTCTGTGGCTATATATTATGAAATCTAAGAACAATTCGAAACTTACTGTCCCTCCACCCCACCTTTCCTCTAATGTGCAGAGGAAACGTATTAGCTTTTTGTTGCTGTGAGAAAATAACCTGACATAAACAAG